GCGTGCTGTGTGTGAACACTGTGACAGCTGAATCAGCACTACGTGTGAGCACACTGTGGGAATGTGCCGTGTGAATACGCTGTGTGAGCTCTGTGTGAACGTGCTGTGTGTGAGCACACCATGGGAATGTGCTGTGTGTGAGCGTGCTGCCTGTGAACACTGTGAGAGCTGAGCCAGTGCTGTGTGAACACACTTGAGATCGCTGTGAGTATGCTGAGTGAGCACACCGTGGGAATGTGCTGTGTGAATACACTGTGAGCTCTGTGTGAATGTGCTGTGTGTGAGCACACTGTGGGAATGTGCTGTGTGAATACACTGTGAGCTCTATGTGAGCACACTGTGTGAATGTGCTGTGTGTGAGCGTGCTGCCTGTGAACACTGTGAGAGCTGAGCCAGTGCTGTGTGAACACACTTGAGATTGGTGTGAGTATGCTGAGTGAGCACACTGTGGGAATGTGCTGTGTGAATACACTGTGAGCTCTGTGTGAACGTGCTGTGTGTGAGCACACTGTGGGAATGTGCTGTGTGTGAGCGTGCTGCCTGTGAACACTGTGAGAGCTGAGCCAGTGCTGTGTGAACACACTTGAGATCGGTGTGAGTATGCTGAGTGAGCACACTGTGGGAATGTGCTGTGTGAATACGCTGTGTGTGAGCTCTGTGGGAACGTGCCATGTCAGCACTGTGTGAGAGCTGAGTCACCACTGTGTGAGTACTGTATGTGTCAGCTGTGTAAATGTTGAATGTGAGTGCTGTGTGAACACCGTGCGTGCTATGTCAGTATAGTGTATTATCTCCAACGCTGTTAGCACCAAGGTAATAAGTTTGTGACCCCTTGTGGTAGTTAAGTTTGTGTGTCAACTTGGCTGGGCCTGGCTGAGTGGCTGGGCAGCTGGATGTAGTATTCCCCATGATGAGACTGGTAATCAACTCTATGGTGGAATCTACTATGAGCAGCTGAGTAGCTGCCCTAGGGATGTGGTCTGCTTCCCATGCATAACAAACAGCTTTGAGAATGGTCTCTAGCTTATGGCACACTTGAACCTTGCATGTAGCCGTGTCGTTGTTCAGCAGCCTGCCATGCTCTGCCAACCTGGGGACTTTCACTGGACTTGAATGAATGGCCTGCCATGTGGTTTGGTAATATCAGGACTGTGCCTTTTTATTTGTCAACCTTGGGCTTGTCAGCCTCAGCAGCCAGTCTGAGTAAAGAAAAGCCTCTAACTCCAGTGGGCTGGGAGCAGGAGGCGGAGCTGGAGCTCAAGGCTGAGGGGCTTTCACCCAGCCCCTAGAGCCTGGCACTTAGAACTCAGACTTAAAGCCTCCAAATTATAAGAACAAACTACTGTAGTGAAAGCCATCTCATTTGACACTCTTGTCAGAGAAACACTAGGGAACCAAAACACCCCTCATGGTTCTGCAGCATTTTACAGACACTACTGGTACTCTGGTGGTGTAGTGCCTAAGGCATTTTGACTGCTAACCAGAAGGCTGGTGGTTCAAACCCACCAGCCACTCCTCAGCAGAAAGACTGGGTGATCTACTTCCATGGAGATACTGCCTCAGAAACCCAAGGAGGGGTCACCATGAGTCGAATCGACTCAATGGCACTGAGGTATTGGTGTGCAGAACCCCAGGAAGGGAGAAGGGCCTGTTAGGAGCAGGCACACACAGCTACCTGCCGCCCATCTCTAGCTCCAGGCAGTCTGTGGGGTCAAGAGGACAGATTCCCATTTCTCACCTTCCTGGCTTGGTGACACCACTGTCTCCTGATAGCTCAATGGCATCAATAGCCCCTTCCAAGCGAAGCAAGATCACTATAGGCAAGAGGTGGTTGTCAGGGCAGGCTGGGCTCCCAGGAGCCCCTGCCAGGCCCCAGTGCTCAGTCCTAGCAGGAGTGGCACTCACTCTTCAACTTTGCAATGTCTTCAAGCTCCATGTTCAGCCCTGGGAGAGAGAGCAGCAGATATACAATCAGGTCACTCTGTCCCACCAATCTGAGCTTGAGACCTAGAGTTCCCAGTGTGGAAAGGACACAGTGAGAGACAGTGATGGGTTCCCAGTGTGAGGGACACAGTGAGAGACAGTGGTGGCTTCCTGCTGTGGAAGGGACACTGAGAGAGACAGTGGTGGGCGCCCTCAGTGGTGGGCACCCTCAACAGCAGGCACCCTTGGGTTGACTCAGACTCCCAGTGACTGTTACAGATTGAGTGTGTCCTTGAGAGATGTGTGCTGACTTCCAGTAAGATGGTAGAATAGGCAGACAAGCTACACAGGCCCTCTTCAACAAAGAAAAGATAAACCAACTGACACAGATATAGAAAATAAATGCTGGAGCCCCCAACTTTGAAAACAAGGATACAGAAGTGGATTAAATACCAACTAGTAGAAGAACCTGAATGAAAACAGTGAATAAGGAGACAAATGGAGCTGTGGACCATCAGCTACCCTGATGGTGTGGCCAGTTTGAGTATTTACAAGTGGTATTAGGACCTGGGCCAGTAACCTAAAAATCGGACCTGCTCACCAAGGGCTCCATGGACAACTGCAGTGATGGCTGATGAGTAAAAAGGCAAACAGCAAAGGAGACAAACTGAGCTGTGGACTTTGGACTGTCTGGAAGGCACAGCCATTTGAATATTTACAAGCACATAGTGCCTAAGGCACTTGACTGCTAACCAGAATGCTGGTGGTGCAAACCCACCAGCCACTCCTTGGAAGAAAGGTTGGGAAATCTACTTCCGTAGGGATACTGCCTCAGAAACCCAAGGAGGGGTTGCTATGAGTCGGGTCCGACTCAACGGCACATAACAATGACATGGCCATTTTGGGTATTAAAAAGTGACAACATTCCCATTTCAATCCCATAGGCTTCTCTTGCCAAGGACAACACGAGCAACCACACTAGAGGCTGATGACCTTGTTACTGTTAACCACACAGGCTCTTGGTGAGCAGAGGTGCGGCCATCCCCCACCTCCACCCACATTTTGGTCCAGCAAGAATTACACCCCAGTCTGTGTCTGACAGAGCCTGAGCACCATGCCCTGCTCCATACCCACGCCACTGAATTTTTATTTGTTTGTAAATTATTCTTTCTTCTTCCTTTTCATTTTTATTCTTTCTTTTTCCCTTCCCAGATTCTAGTTTTTGGGCTTTTTCCTCTTGCCTTTTCCTGGTTCCCATATTTTTTCTCTTTTTGATTCCTTTCATCCCTTGTCTTTTTTGCATTTTTTTTTTCTTTATTATTCTTTTACTCTAGCTCTTTTCTCTTATCCCTCCTCCCCAGATATTGTGAGGTTTTTTTTTTCTCTTTTTCTATTATACTTTTCTGTCTTTTTTTTTTTCCTTACTGAGTAGAGACTTTAGTGACTTCACATTACATAGAATACAGACATTATAGTATTAGGCCAAATAAGTCACTATACAAACAAAAAACAAAGAAATAATCAACTAGAACAACAAAACATGGATTGGAAAGGAGGGACATAACTCCCAGAATTGTTATATTATCTAGAGCATCCAGTTTTCAAATATTCAATGTATCCAGCTATGTTGCTGTTGTTAGGTTCCTTCAAGTCTGCCTGACTCATAGCGATCCTATATACAACAGAAAGAAACTCTGGTCAATCCCACACCAGTCTCACAATACTTGCTACACCTGAGATAATCATTGCAGCCTCTGTGTCCATCCATTTCATTGAGGTTCTTCCCCTTTTTCACTGACACTCTGCTTTACCAAGCATGAAATCCTTCTCCAGGGGATGGTCCCTTCTGCCAACATGACCAAAGTAGGTGAGACGAAGGCTGGCCATTCTCCCTTCCAAGAAGCATTCCAGCTACACTTCTTCCAGGAAAGATTTGTTAGGTTTTTTGGTAGTCCATGGTACTTTCAGTATTCTTCACCAAAACCACAACTCAAACTTGTCAAGCCTTCTTCGGTCTTCCTTATTCATTGTCCAGCTTTCACACATATATGAGTCTATTGAAAAATACCATGGTTTGGGTTAGGCGCACATTAGTCTTCAAAGTGACACCTTTGCTCTTAAGCACTTCAAAGAGGTTTCTTGCAGCAGATTTGCCCAATGCATTGTGTTATCTGACCTCTCTCTCTTTTTTTTTTTAATTGTGATTTGGGTGAAGAGTGTTACAGAACAAATTCACTTTCCATACAGCAGTTCACATATACTTTGTCTCATGTCACTGACCACAGTTTACCACAATGCAACAGCTCCCCTCGCACTTCCTCCCCATAGTTACCTCTTC